GTCGATTCCGACAGATATGGATATGGCGGCAAGAAGAGCTTGGTGGGCAATGTCGTCGGGCGAGAAGTACATGAGATGCGCGGGACTGCGAGGATCGAGGCGGAGGAGGTCCATGCCGACTTCCTTCATGGAGAGATTAAGGTAGACCGGAGGCTCAGAGCTGTGGCCCATTTCGATCTGCTTGGTGAGGCCAAGGAAACCAATCGCGAACTGGAATTCATGGATACCGCGGAGGATAGAGCTGGCGAACTCGCGCGAATCGGACACGGTACGGACAAGGTTCTCTTCGCGGCTGTTGGGGTCGTCGAGCTCTTCCATGACATCGCTGAGCGATACTTGTGTCCGACTGCCCCGAGATCGTTTCCCAGGGACAGGCGCGCGACACTTCTGGGCCCTTTCCATGCACAGCTTGACATCGTCGAGTGGAATGAGGAGGCGACCCAGCTTGAGTGCGATGGACGCATCGCGCAGACCCTCGAGGCCTTTCTTGAGGAAACCGTGGACGTTGAGAGTGCAGTGATCCAGCAGCTCCGTCGACTCTCTGCCCTCTGGGGTGAAGAGGATGCTGCGGGCGGAGAAGAGCCATTCGGCGGGCCACTGCTCCTCGTCGGACTTGGGCTTGTGGTGGTTGAAGAGGCGACTGCGATCGACCGTCTTGCGCCGTGTGTCGACTGCGAGGTTGAGGCCGCCGACCTGGATAGAGCCCACATCGACTACGACCAGGGTGGTCGCATGCGCCACGACATCGACCTGCCTGAGCCAGTTGATGTTCCTGTGCAGACGTTTGATCTTCTCCTTGGCATCCGTCAGCCGCTTCCACGTCAGGCTTCGCGGTGTCTCGTCATCGCCCAGCTCGTCGTCCTCCGCTCCGGGTTCGGGCGTGTTCTGGCCGCTCTTGCCCTTTTGTGTAGTGCCGTTTGCCCAATGGGCCCATCCCGTCTTCTTCCGCGGCTTCTCTCCCAGCGCTTTGAGGTCGACCGTGACCTTGAGCTCGTGCAGGACGATGCTGACTACCGTGGGTTGCGCGAATGTGGGTCGATGAAGGGTGAAGCCGAGTCCGCGGATCTCGATGCGCAGGCCATCCTTGGGCGTGAAGGCAATGCGTCGCAGCCCCCGTAAGCCCAGGCGCTGTATGGAGACCCCGGTGGCTATGCGTATAAAAGCGAATAGAACAAAGGAGAGCAGGTATATGAGGAGCACGAGCCCCGCGAGGAACTGGAGGGTTGGCAGAGCCATGATGCTGCTTCAACCGTATGCCATTGACCGAGTCGAGGATTATCGAACGAGGTGGTCGCGAGTGCACGCGACGTGCCTGAGTAATGGGAGAGTCGGCCGGCGGAACATAATCGAAGGGAGCGCGGGCGCAGGGCTACGAGGGTTGCTGCATCGAGGGCGAGGGTGTACGTAGGTGAAAGCGCGGACTTAACGGTCGGGGCAGATGAAAGCGGCCAAAGCGGCAGGCCCGGATCGCGTCGCTGGGTCGTAGCGGCTGTGGCTAACGAAAAATTCAGGGCGAACAGGAGGATCTCGATCTAGCAAACTTGATGTAGGCCCTCTCCAGACGCTCTGCGGGGCTCCGTATCTGCTTCGCTTGGTGTCTTGTGCTGATGCCGTCAGATTTCCAGGTTCCCACGCTTCGTCGGCACGACATCCCTGCATCGCCAAGACGCACCCGCGTACCGGGAAGGAGCTTAAACGCTCCTGCCACGCGACTGTCACCCAACGACACATCTGCGTGCTGGCTGAGTCACACTCACGTGCCACAGGCTTGCACTGGCATGACTATCTGTTTCCGTGGTGTTAGGCCAAACGGCTTTCCGACCAAATCAATCCGACCATCCATCTAGCCAGTCGTTCCTGCCAAGCACGACCGGTCGCGGCTGTTTGCATACGTGGGACGACAGATCATGGAACCTCATCCCGCATTACGGCCGAACTGCAACGGCGTCGGGAACAAAGAGATGCTATCCTTGCGGTGGATCATTACCTTCGAACCCTTCAAAACTTCTCCAGGTTATCATTTGTACACGCACTGATCCCAGCTCTGTCGGTGAACTTGTCTGGATGATTGTCCCTCGCTGTCACCTTCCTCTGCGCGTTCAATGCGGCTTCCTCGAAGCCTCGCGCCTTCGCAACAGCTGCTCATACCCCGGTATCCGGCAGGAAGCGCGTGCAAGTAGAAAGAAGCGAGCGATGTACCTCAAACTTGGAAACGTCGCACCTCTATCACTATAGCACATCACATCGCCAAAACATGGTTAGCCACAATCCCCACGCAAATATGCATAGTGCAGCTCCGGTTGGGAGTGCAAGGAACGCGTTACCCATGATCCTTCCGCCACCCCATCCAAAAGAGTTCTCCCGCTACGCGGATCCCATGGGCTTCACCTACATATATGCATTCTCGCTGATCGACGCACAAAACATCATCTCCAACAACGACCCCAATTACCAAGCCAAGTCGCCCATCGCAGTCTTCTAGGCACGAACAGCTGATGTCGCCGACAAGCCCAGGACACCATGGCATCTTATCAACCCCGCTCTATCCGCCGCTACTGCCAAGATGTTTTGGACAGAAAATCAATGTCGCCCAGAACCCATGGTTGTTTGTCGGGAAGATTTTCGCGCGGCGTCGGGCGAGATGATCCAAAGGGAATATCAATGGCGAGATTGGCAACACAATGACGAGGCTAGGTGCTTTGTAAGGGATTCGCCAAGCATCGCGAGCACAGCGGGTATCAGATACGCTGCACCAGAAGGAAAGGATGCGAAAACAGCATGGGCTCACTAGGAGGAGTGTCGGGACAGGGCTACACTCGCGAGATTTGGGGGTAAGTCTTGACTGCACGAAGTGCATGTGAGACATATACTGACTTCGTACCTCTACCGCTGCAGTACCGAAAAAAGGAGCAGGAGCACCTCGGGTTCAGAGGCCTCTTCACAGAAAAACATTCATGCGTTATGCTTGATTGACTAAGAGAGCATTTTTTTACTTCTTGCTACGCTGGTGCGCAACTGAGGGCTCAATGCCTAGTGTTTGTCAGTTTGGACTTGGCGGATGCATGTAGTCATCCACTGATCAATTTCATCTTTGACGCTCACAGACGCTCACGCTGTCTCTGTCATTGTTTCGATAGATGGTTGTCTAATATTACTCATCCAAGCAACATGTTTTTCGCTGTTCTATCATCAACAGCAAACCCGGACACCTACCTGTCCGATGTTTGGATGCACTCATTCCACGACACGGCTGGGCAACTATCACCAGCATCCTGGTGATCATATCGCGAGGCCTCTGATATACGTTATGCCACATCGACTTTATATTGATGGAAGGACGTGGAGGTCTCAACTTACTGACACCTTAGGGATTCGTTCTCAATGGTGCGAAGACGTGAAAGGTGGTGACGTCATAACAGGGCGCGCTCAGGTCGAGCAACGAACCATCCATCACTCTTACTCCGTCATTCCCATCACCACAACGCGATGCGCTGGCATTACTACGACTCTGACGCGTCCTTTATGTCTTTACAGGACAATGTGATATTTGACGCGCATTTGACGCGTGAGCAGTGGCATCATGCTCGCGTTCTATGGGTTGTCGACTACGAAATCGTCGCTAAGAGAACGCAGGTTGATGCATCACGTCCTAGCGAGCGCGCCTGCCACGCAACCATGAGCCAAACTTTTCGCTAGCATGCACATTACGAAAGTGCTACCGCACATCAGGCACGACGCATGACATCGGGGCCGCCTTCGCTGCTGCAGGGACATTGTTAGCTTCAAAGGAGCTCTGACCGTCGGCCATGATGTCCAGAAAGAGTGAATGGCTAGACTGCAGCGACAGCAGCCAGAGTTGCTACGTCGGATCTCAGTAGGACACTGCCTATTACCGACACTTCTGTGCGGAAACCCTTTGTTTGTCAGTCAGTCATCACTTCGGAATACTCACACTCGACATATACGCCGCTACATCCTAATCAACCTTGGTGGGCTTGGATACTGCAAAACAATTATCTACAATATGCGTACCCGGCCCGACGTCTGCGAGCGGCTCCGCGGCTGCCCAAATCCGGCTCTCATATACTACGCCTTCTCAGATAAGTGGCTGTGCAGCTACTGCGTCGGGGACACGCAGATGGGGCACCCATTGTGTACGGAGGATGGCTGGAGACGTGGCAGTTGCGTTGACACGGAAAGTCAGCAATGGTTTTGCGACTTACATGCAGATCGTTGCGAAGCCATCGTTGAGAGACCACGAGGTCAATCTATCGGGAACTCACATCGATGTATGCGTATTGGGGCTCTCTACGAAAGCAATCTGCTTGACCGGTACTATTGCACCGAGCACATGCCAGACAATCAAGGACTACATGATACCGAGCCAGTTGCGGGCGCAGCGATGAGCCCTCCGACGAATTCGCAGACTCTGGATCTGGACATCTTTTCGACTGGGGTGGATACGGAATGTTGCATTTGTTTCGAGCCACAGCGGAGCATGCGTCGACTCATCGCCTGCAGCCACATGTTCTGTGAGGATTGTCTGTCAAAGCAGGTCAACGGGCCATATGCGAGGGCTCATGACTGTCCGCTTTGTCGGAAAGATATATTTGATCTGTGAGGTACGGACGTGGAGACAATGTGAGTGCATTGGGAACCGCGGGTGGTTGTACCTCTCAAGATGCGCAGGCTCATGCAACTTTGAATACCTGATTTCTTCATCTTCTGTCGCCTCCATTGCTATCTCTTGAATCATACTGCGCGTTTCCTCAGTTAGTAGTACACAGCAGCCAGAATCATGTTGGTTACTTCTTCAAGCGCTCTCACTGCTCCCCGTTGCATTATGAGGTTTCCTTGCACCTCGCCGTTAGCGAGCGTGTTTGTTTGCTACTTTAGCCCCACTTCCACAGCAAACTTAAGATCTCCACTCCAAATTAATTCCTCTCCCTTTGTCTCACCTGCGACGGATGCAAAGTACCTCTACAGCGACAGCCACCACGATGGCTCAGTCAGTGACGCCAGCTCGCCGCACGTAAGTTTCCCTCATACTAACGACAGCGTCGATTACCAATAACATACTGACACCTGCGGCTCTCAGGCTCTACAATGACCCCACGTTCTCCGACATCAAGATCCGTCAGATCTACAAGGGCAAAGTCAAGGAGTATTGGGCCCACAAGGCTGTGCTCTGCGCTCACTCGGGTTGGTTCATGGCAGCTTTGACCGGCCAGTTCAAGGTATGTGCCAACTTCGGGAGTGGACGGACTTAGCTAATACGACGTCTACAGGAAGCCTCTGCAGACACCATCGAAGTTCACGAGGACGATCCGGAAATCTTCCAAACCATGATGGAGTTCTTCTACAACATGGACCTCAAGAAGTCACACCCGTGTTATGACATCGACAAGTTCGTCAAGACCGATGTGGTCCCCATTATTTCACTTCACGCTCTCGCCGACAAGTACGACGCCAAAATTCTACAGGAGACCGCTATATCTGCGTTCAAGACCCAAACAGGCAGAATTCGTATTCATCCAGCAATCGAAACAGTACATATGCTGGTACACGCATATTATTCGGCTTGCTCGGTAGTTCGGAGTGGTATGGGTGAAGCTATCGTCCAATACATCTTCAAAGTAAATCTCTATGGCTTGAGAAACGGCGAGTACGGCGAGCTATGCGTACAGTATAGCAATCTTGGCGCCGACTTCTATCTTGTGGGCATAGCTGGTGGTGAACTGAAATATGCTTGACCGTTATTAGGGTTACTCTCTGGTTTCAAGACGCCTAAGAGACTGTTTTGGTGCGAAATTCGGACTGGTGCTTTGGCTTCTAGAGTTCATGTATGGGCAACAACTACACAGGGATATCTCTGTAGTTCAGTATAAAGCTCCTGAAAGCATCGCTCTTGCCCCGTTCCGTGACCTCAATCTTGAAGTCATCAAGTATAGTCCAGAATGTAGACATCAACAGGCGCAGTTCTGTCTCACATATCCAACCGCTGACATCCCTCCCACTGACCCCACAACTTCCGCATAACACCCTGTCTCTCCATCATATCCTGCAAATCCTTGAGTGCAGCAATCCTTCCACTCCCATCCTTCATCTTCCAATTCCAGCCCTCCGAGCGACCAGCCATGACGAGCTCCCACTTCGTCTTGTTATCAACCGGCTGCACATGCGCACCAGGCTCGCTGTATACCGTGACCACATCGCGAGCTTGCAGGAAAGCGAAGTTGGATGTTCCCTGCATGCATTCGCGGATCTCGAGGACCTTGAGGGCGAGATGCGGGTTGTAGACGCGCGCAGTATCTGATTATGTTAGTTTCGTATCAGTGAAGTGACAATGTAACAACGTACTGAGGATACCAATCTTCATCTCATCAGCCACATCCGCAACAGCGACTTCCTTCTCCTCGTGACCCGTCTTCTCAACCATCCTCATGTTGATCTGGCGGCCGCCCACCTTGCTCCAGCACAGCTCTTGTACCGCGCGCTCTGCCTCCCCTTCTCCGGTGATCTTGATGAATGTGCGTAGCGGATAAGCGAGGTTCTTGACGTTAGGTAGCGCAAAGTCAGGCGAGATCGTGAAGTCCTGGAAGAGTAAGATGACGTCTCGGTGAGTGAGCTTTGGTGGGTAATTGGAGAGCTCGATGGTGGTCCAAGACATGTTGGAGAGGGAGGGTGTGGGAGAGGGAGTTGGAGTAGGTGGTGTAATTGTTATGGTGATTGGGTGAGGGAGAGGAAATCGAGGTGGGGCGAGGCGGTCTAGGTGTAGTGAGCGAACGGTCTTGGTGAAGATCTGGTGAGCGAGATTGGTCGGCTCGCCCGTTTGCGCTTGCGGTGTAGTCATTTTGGTCTACGATTTGTGATTAGTAGTGTAGGAGTAAATGCTGTTCAATCGCAAAGAGGTTCTGGTATTGCGGTTGTGTGAGAGATTGAGATGCTAGGTTCAAAACTGCTCGAAGTTTACTATCTACTAGATGATGATATCCTCAGTCACTTTCACATCGAACTCGCATTCACCACTTCAATTGATAAAGGGAAGGGGGAAAAAGAGCTCAGCATCAGGACTTATCTAGGCAACTACATCGTCTTTCTTCAGTGATATCTCAGTGATGATTGAGTAGCGTGGCGATAGTCAGACTACTAGCACCTTACTGTTGTCTACAGCAAAAGGCCGTGAAGCTCCCAGGCACTCGTATCATTGAGAGTTCCGCTTTCAATTGATCTCATGTAGTCCGCAACTCGACTTGATCTTTTTGGTGAAGGGGAGGAGTGAGGAGGAGGCGCTTGTCCACGTGGGCTCGTGAAGTGGGGCCACGATGTGACTCGTAACAACCCATCTGTCGCACAACCTATCGACACCGCTCCCAACCGCGAACAGCAACGACAAGATGGAGAGCGTCTACGTACCGCCACACCTTCGGAAGAAGGCAGAACCCACAACGGTATCAGACGCGCCACCAACATCCGTCGCAATACCATCAGTGGTGCCCAGCTCAAAGCTGCAAGAACGATCCGATGACAACTTGTACACCGTCCAGGAAATACACACCTACTTCTGGGGAGAGGGAGCCGGAGCCGAAGATACGCATAACGCTACGCTCCATTCGTCGGCCGCGAATCCGAACGGTCTATCGTGGGTGCTATTGTTCAATGGCGCGAACCCGAAGTGGGACGAGGACGGGGTCATCTTTGTCAAGAGCAACCTGAACCTTCTCACGGTACCCACACCCGCTTCCGAGCTCAAATCAGTGATCGCTGTCGCACTACCCGCACAACGATTAGACAAACCGGGTGAGGACGGAGGTGTCATGCTACCAACGAGCAGCGAAGTCGCAGATGAGGATTACGAGGAGGGCTCATCGAGTGGAACACCGGAGCCCACCACCACTGAGCCGCTATCAGATCACCCCAACGAGAGAGTTCTCATCGACTACTCTCCAATCGCCGTATTTTCTCAGGTCGTCCGACGTGATAGCCGACCCTTCAAGTTCATCGGATGGTACGAGATCGAACACTTACAAATACTCGAGCCTGGTTCCCAAGGGCTGCTTCACATGTTGTGGGACAAGTGGAACCCGAAGGACAAACACGGCAACTATGTACCAAGACAGCGAGGCTCCGTCAATTTGATGAAGAGCATGTCTTACTCGTGGGCTGTTGTCCAGATGAAGAAAGACGAAGAAGCTATGGAGAACAAGGGCGAACCGAAGATTGAAAGAATGGGAAATACCGAAGATATGACAGGAGATAGCGAGGGTCAGAGCGTCAATGAGATGCTTGCCCAGATGAGGCTCGAAGGCGAAGGCAACGTGGTGGCGCCCGAGGAAGGGGAGACCTGAGAACTCTCGCTGCGGACCGGTTTTGTCTGATCAAATGATGAAGGATAACATCGCACAGTAGCGATGGGCGCAGACGCGATGATGGAGGAAGTAATGTCGACATTAGACAGTCATTGAAGCAACATCAGAAGCCCTTCTTGTACCGTAGCATCCTCTCAAGGATTCCCGTCATCTTGTCCATTGCCTCGCCCATCGACATTTATGTATTGGATATCTGTCCTTAAAAAGAATCGAAGAAGATAGGAAAGTCGCATGAATGATGTTTAGCCGGATGAGGCACCCGCGTCCAAGATGCGGAGGTCGACGCGCTCCGATTGGTAGTGTCGGAGAAGGCCGATGGTGGGGCTGCCGCGGGGTATCGTCACCACTTGGGATACTATTGCCGCCGGTCTCATTGCTTATCGAGAATCCCGCGTCTTTTCAATTCTGTTTCCTTGTTGTACGCGCATCCAGCTGCTTGAGTTACGAACGCTCCCCTCGTTGCCCAGTTGCCACAGCCATCTCCTTACCCCGAAATAACAGCGACGATCACCGAAGCAGCACCCCACCAAAACCCCACTCCCCCCTGAACGCGACGAGATGACCGAGTCAATCCCCAAAACGCAAACCGCAGGCTGGATCCAAGACCCCGGTCCCGATTGCGTCCTCCAAATCCGAAATGACGTCCAAGTGCAATCCCCTTCGGCCGGCGAACTCCTCGTAAAGCTCGAATACAGCGGCATATGCCACAGCGACTGCCACAACCTCGTTTCGCCCGGGAAATACACTGAAGTGCCGGGTCATGAGGGCGTTGGTACTGTGGTATCGCTCGGCCAGGGAGTGTCAGAGGACTTGCTGGGAAAGAGAGTAGGCATAAAGTGGCTGTGGAACGCGTGTAAAGAGTGCAGTAGCTGCAAGCAAGGCAAGGAGAACCATTGCGCCAAGCAAAAGAATACTGGAAGAAGTGTCTGGGGTACGCTACAGCAGTATGTGGTTGCAGATGCGGAATTCGTTACTATGATCCCGGAAGGAGTCAAGAGCGAAATCGCAGCGCCACTCCTGTGCGCAGGTCTCAGTCTTGCGGGCGCCGTGTCAAAGCTCACACCTGAGGTCAATCCCGGTGACTTTGTCGCTATCATTGGTGCTGGCGGAGGTCTTGGACACATCGGTGTGCAGATTGCTACCATCAAGGGATACAAGGTCATTGCGATTGACAGTGGTACCGAGAAAGAGAAGCTGACGAAGGAGATGGGCGCCGTGGCTTTCGTGGACTACGCCAAGCAAGATGTATTGCAAGCAGTGCGAGATCTGACGGATGAAGAAGGCGCGCATGGCGTCATTTGTGTTGCTGGCAGCGAAAGAGCGTATCTTCAAGCTCCGGCTTTGGCGAGGAATAGTGGCGTATTTGTCTGTGTGGGACTTCCGCCGGATACGTTCATGTTCCCTATGAGCCCGATCCATATCGCCAACAGAGGTACGCTCCTGCACCTGTATTGATTGAAACAGGACTAGTGCTAACAAAACCAGGGCTCGTCATCAGGGGATCCTCAACCGGTAGCGCCAAGCAAATGGATGAGCTATTGCAGATGGCTTTGCAGGGCAAGATCACACCGAAGGTCGAGGTTTACGACTTTGCCGACTCTCCGAAGATTCTTCAGGAGTTGCAGCGTTATGAGGTTACGGGTAGGAAGGTGGTACGGGCACCGTAAAAGTGTGGTGAGGATTTTCGGAATGTAGTAGTTGAGCGCACGCAACGGGGTGGTGTTTCGCATGTGCGGGGTGTGGCGTTGAGGCTACTCAAGGCGCGGAGTTTAGCATATGACAGCGCTGGAGCGATGCATGAAGAGGAGTTGAGGGCTTGTCGTGGAGTAGGGGGTAAGGTTGGAGGGTGTATTGGAGGCGCAATATGATACCCTTGTAAAAGATTAGGGTTTTAGGGGAGCGCGGTTATGACGAATGCACTATCCTGAGCTCGCTAAGGCGCTATACGGGTCGTCCGGACATCCCCATGCTATCGCGTACATTAATCATTACATGAATGTCGACTAATACCAGTCTCCGCTCTCTTCGTTTGCCTTCACGTCCATAGGATTCATACTCATGATCCGCTGCCCGGGTATCGTGTCCGTGAACGCACTCTCAAACACACCACTAACAGCTCTTCGTCCGATCTCCTTGAAACTATCGTATTCCTGGTTATCACCAGTGATAGCACTCCATTCGGGATCCTCAGGGCTGCGCGCAGGGCCTAGATCACTCCATCGCGTTACGATGAGAGCCTGCTTGAATCGTTCAGGACCGTTGCCGCGCACGCTCTTGTCTTCAACAAGTTTGAGTTCGAATAGGTATTCGGTCGGGCATCTGGGGCAGCGGCGCATTGGTCGGCATATGGAACAGAGATTGACCATACCAACAGCCTTCTTTCCTATGCTGCGTTCGCGGAACTTGTCGAGGGCTGTCGTTTCGGATTCGTGTGTATGCGGAATATGTGATAGTGCACATTTGGGTATTGATGTTAACAGCCCGTGCTTCCAATGTGCGCAAACGCTGAAGTAGGGCGTGAAGTCCCCACGGCTGAACAAAAGCATACGCTTTGCTGCATCTGTCATACCCCCTTCCACGTACTGTTGTGATCGAATGCGCATCAATAGGTGACCTTTGTCGGTAATGTGATAGGTAGAATCATGCCTCCAGGTCGAATAGGTGTCTTTCCAACGGCGGCCTAGCGACTGGTGAGGAATACCGTAATCTGCACCGTAGGCCCAATGACGTCGGGCTAATTGAGCGAATGCGAATGGTAATGTGCGACCTTCGCTAATGCGGAGCCTTGGTGGAGGAATATGAACGTTGGTTCGATTGGGGCACTCAAAGAGTGGATTGAGAACATTGGGAGGCTTCATTGTCTCCATACCAGGCTGAATGCGCAAGTGCCACTGTGCGCATGGGAAACAGAAAAGATGGCGTGGCATCTTGTGGTCCATGGAAAGTAGAAAGTCGAGCCGTTGCGGCCGATGGAGCGGATCCATGAGCAGTTTGTATGGGTGTCTACCTAACCGAGCGTACATGGTCCGGCATGTAGAGGATAGGTTGGCAACGTCGAGCGGTGATAGGAAGTCTGCAACATGAAGCCACACTTCAGGTGATGCGCTGCCGAGTAATGCTGTTCCGTCAGGTTTCGTAGGATCATAGAGTAAAGATACATCATCCCGTTCTTCCTCAATCGTATCAACACCATCAATGTATGTGAAAGCATGCATCATGTCTGTCAGATCCTTTCTTTCTCCGGTATCTTTGTCAAGAATGTCATCGGCCTTGACATGCTTTGAAGGCGCGCGATGAGACTTGGTCAGCTTTGATGGCTGCGATCTCGATGGCGCGTATGGTAGGGTCTGCTCATTGCCCGACTGCGGTATTGATGCAGATCTCGAGCTGTGTGGTTGATACAAAGGCGCGGCATACTGTGGTTGTCCTTCTGAGTTGCGGCGGTAATCGGCCGCTTGCTGCCCAGGTTGTAGGTAGGCGTTGCTGGTATCCATGAGAGCATTAACAGCAGCATATGGATGATCACGCAACGCATGCGGCGCGAGGCCAGTGATGTCTTCATTGGTAGGTAAGCCAAAATTGTTGTCTGAGAGATCGGTTCTCTCGTTCGTAAAGCTACCAGAGTCTTGGCGGTTGGGGTTCGCTACGTTGGTGGTTGAGTCAAGCTTTCCGAGCATATCGCTTCGTGATCCCTTCTTGGAAAGTTTCTTCCGCGTAGCCGGCTCTTTTGGTTGTTTCCCTGATCGCATGCCAAACATGGCGCGCAAGCCGCCTTTCTTGGTTTCTGGTTCCGCCATTGTGGAGACAGCTGCAGCTAGTCGTGCAGGTGATTAGGGAATCTCGCAGCGCTCAAGACGAAGATGAGGGTCGGTCGATATGGATGATGGACAATGTGCTATGCGCAGGTGTTACTGATACGGTTCCCCAGAGAAATGGTTTGTCAAACGATGTTTATCGAAATTGCAGCAGGGTGGATGATCATCGTCATAGCGTGGCGGCTCGTTTCGGCACAGGATCCGTACTCATCCGCTCAATTCGTCCACTAGTGAGCTCAGTCTGTGGGTACGCATGTCGTCATGAGTGAAGTGTGCATGCGATGAGGTGCAGTCCAGACCGCTTAAAGATCACGATGTTGGAGCTGGCAATGCGCGATGGGATTGTGGGCACGCGTAAGGTGCGCGACATGCATTGACCATCTGACGTAATCCGCTAGAAGTTTGCCGATCCCCTTTAGTCCCCACCAGACCCAACCTCCTCGCCAACGCAGAACAGCATGCGCCTTTGACCCGACTACACCCACGCCTGCCACCTCTTTCTTGCCGACCCTTTATATGTCGAACGGACTGGCCAAGACAATCCGAAACCACGTTTTCGTACGAAGAAATCAATCGATCTCGAGCTGGGAGATAGCACCTAGGAGGTCATCCTCTTCGAGCATATCGCCTATGGGCTGTGTCGCTGCACTGTGCACGCCTCTACCCAACTTTCGGCGGATATCTTCGATGGTATCATGATCCTGGACGGTTTGTACACCGTTGTGGGTGCTGAGCGCATCGAACAGTGTCGTCAATCGCTCACAATGATGATTGTCAGCCATAGCGTCAAGCGCCGGTGCAACAGGAAAGATGAAGCCGACCAGTATCTGCATGTTCTTGTGCAAGAAGACATAGTCCGACTTGACCATGATCTCTATCATGTCGAGCGTAATGGTCTGTACCCAGGTTGGTGCGCCAATCTTCATGGCTTCGGAGATGCTCTTGAGCAGCCGTTCGATAGCTGGCAATTCCCAATCCTGTGTTGTGGTAAATAGCTTCGAGCTAGTTTCAACTGCCTGGTCAAGTTCCTCAGGCGGAATGACGCTGAATCGACCCCTGCCGTATACATACTCGACCTTGGCAGAGACTGTGTCCTCGGCCGCATCAGAGTCGGTATCTTCCCAGGTACAGGTATACCCTGACTCTGTGTGTTGTTGATACTGGTCAGACCTGCCGAGTATGTCGCACATGTGCTTGATCAGGGCCTTCTCTTGCTCCGTCCTCTCATAGTTTTCCTTCTTCAAAGCCATCAGAATATCGGTAACACGGCTAGACTTCATGTTCTCATTGGCGGTGTCGAGCAGTGGAATAGCTTTGTACGCGAACGGAAAGAACGTGTCGTAATTGTTGTGGAAGGGCAGGTAGAGAGAGGTGGCCATCTTCTCCAACAGGCCGCAACCCACGTTCACCGCTATTGCCGATCCGCGTTGTCCGACAGAAAAGGCTCTGAGGAGGCTGAGCGAGAAATCCAGTACGTTGACGGATCCGGGTTCCCAGATCGGTCGAGCGATGAACTCCCCGGCAGCCTCGAGGATGTACTTGCCCGCGATGTCGGCACCCACGATACTTTTGGCGTTGACGACTTCGAGCTCCAGATCCGGATCGATTGTGTCGAACAAAGCCCTGGCACAACCTGATTAGCCGGGACCTTGCTGCATTGTGGGGAATACCTTACCTGTAGAGCTTTACGCCCACTGTGGCCCAGCTCGATTGACTCACAATCTTAGCGTTGACGACATTGACGAGCGCGTGAAGTTTCAGTAGATCTCTACCGACAAGGGCGAGGAGCAACTGGACCTGGGCTTGTACCGTGCTGTCCGGGGTCTGACTATCGACAGAATCAACGACATCGCGGATGAGCTCAGTGAAGTCGAATTGCTCTTGGTAGACGTCATTTGGAAGCTGCGCAGATACGTCTTCAACTACAAATGTAGCTGATGCCATCTTGTTGTGTTGCATGATTGCGCGAGAGATTGGTGTTGTGTGAGAAAATCCTACGCGTCGAGGTGTTGGGATTCAACACAATGGGCAGGAGCAAACGATGAAGGCTTGGCGTTGGGCGCAGGGTCAGGGTCAAGCACACTGGCGGCGAAGATGCGCCTACAATATTGACACATGATAGTACATTGGCTGCTGAGAAGAATTGCAACAGCAGACTATCTGATGTTCTTATGATACAAGACACTGTCCCTCTCCGCCAACCGTGTGTGCCAGACAAGCCTTCCACACTTCGCGTTATGCCAGATCCTTGCTTTCACAAAACCCAGGCATTCTTCCTCAGGGAAATTAGTCCTGCGACCTTGATCTTGGACATTAGATCCTCGTCCGCGTTCACTGTGCGCTCGCGTACTTTCTCCAAAACCCTCGTGAGCTCCGCTTCAGTAATCGGGTTCTCATCCAGACCACGCGCAACGAATTCCACGTACTCGACAAACAGGTCGATGTTATGGTTGCTGAACAGATGCTGTGCACTTACCATCATATCCAAGATCCAAACATTTGTCTTGAGCGACATAAGGAGAGTTGATGATGTTGCGTCGGCTACAGAGGTAGAGGTACGAAGTCACTATATGTTTCACATGCACTTCGTAGAGGCAAGACTTACCTAGTTCAGCGAGGAGCCACATGCGCGGTTGGCACCATGTGGCTTCCTGCATGTCGGCTTGAAAGTCGGCCAGCGAGCGGTTGTAGATGTAGTGTTGGACGAGACGCGCGCCGGAGCGTAGCTTGTTGTTGCCATCGGGGAGTACGTTTGGGTCGGCCAGTGTTGCTGGGATAAGAAGGCAGAGATAGTTCAGCAGCTTAACTGCGACGTATACCCAATTCTTGTCTTCCATAGCGCTCGCGTAGATGATGTCGACCGTGTGTCTCAACTTGACTGGGTCCGCGTCGATATTCTCCGTCACCTCGCGCATGACGGCTTCGGCAGTCTCGTCTAACACGTTCACTGGGATGCTGAAGATCAGGTGGACGACCGCCATGCGGAACATGTCTGAAAACACAAGCGAAGGAGCGATAAACGGGCCGTTCATGTTGAATTGAGACGAGTGCAGGTGGCGTGGTATTGTGGTGTTGTGGATGTAGAAAGGTTGGTGTGAGCAAGTTTTAGGCAGGCAGCAAGCTTTGCACTGAAGACTCTTCGAGGTCGCACAAATCGTCTCGACAGGGTCTTTTGACTAACGCGAATTCAATATGACTTTGTTGCTCTCAGAAGAGATTTTCCTCAGCTTCTCGACCTCCACGTGGAGTTACGCGCGATCATATAGTCTTTGCTTTGGATGGCCTTCCAGATTCCCCAAAACCCGCCTAATGGCCATATGCCTCTCAGCTTCAACCCCATATCTTTGTTTGCCATACTCGTATACTTTTCGATATCGACATGCACTTTGTCATACACCTCAGGCAGCATCTCCGCGTTGTACTCCTTCCTCAACCCTTGGTGCCATTTGCGATCGAATTGCGCCCAGAAGTCATCTTTACTGTAGTATGTCTGCGCATACAGCCACTTCATACCGCCCATCTCTCCGAGTGTCTTCTCGAGCGCGCGGTTCTTCTGCAAGTAGGTGACAGGGTCTTTAGGACCAAACCCCCAAAGACCAATATTGAGCATTTGGTCTGACTTCAGGGCGCCTTTGGTGTGAGGGTGCATAGTCGGTTGGGGGCTTTGCTTCAACGGGCAGAGCCAAAGAGGCCAGATTCCAAATTCCTTGTCGGTATAGTTGATGAACTTTTCGGCGTTGGGGTAGGGTAAAGCCATGTCTTGGACGATATAGCGTGTCGCAATTCCGGACGCATGGAGAGCTCGGTAAAGCATGCGCGTGTGAAGGAAGTCGTCCAGGAACCAGCGAGTGTACTTGTTGAAGGGAAAGCGCATGTAGCTGAAAGCGGACCGACCGACCCAAAAGCCACCACGGTCGTAACGGAACATGTACTCGGCTAAGGGGATGTACTCCACCACTGGCTTGGTAGAGTTTTGTGTAGCGGCTTCGACATGCAGATAGAACCAAGGATCCCACGGGTTACTGAAAGTCTGCGGCTTGGTGTTGGGTGGCAGATCATCTGTCATCTCGCCTGTGACGATCGCACCGTGCTCCTTGCTGAACAAGACGCCATCAACATAATCATTCCTCTCGCCTTTTTCACCACGTGTATGGTCTTCGACTTCCTTGACAGCTTGAGCAACGCTACGTGTAGGATAGTATGTTGTCTTGACATATTTCCTCGCCTCGATGAGCTTCAAATCGACAAGCGTAGTAACCCCCAAGGTACCGACAGCGCCAGAAGCCCCTCTGAACAGGTCCTCATTCTTCTTCTCGCTAGCTTTGACGACCTCACCGTCGGCCATAACCATCTCCACCTCATTGATAGTGCGATCGAAGAACCCAAACTTAAAGCTACTACTCTCGCCAGCTGTACCCGCATACCCGCCACCAACAGTGATACCAGGAAACTCCATCACGACGGGTGGCACAAGACCATGCGGTAGCGTAGCTTCTACAAGCCGATCCATAGGTACGTTTGGCTCGACAAGAGCTGTCTTGTTTTCCGTATCAACGCGTATGACATTCCGAAGAGCGCTGATATCTACGACATGCTTCTTAAGATTCGGACGCGTGCTGTTTGTCGAGCCGTGAGATATCCGGAAGGGTTCTTTGCGCGTAAAGTAGTCTTTGACTTTGGACGCGACTTGCGCAACGACGCGCTGATGGCGATCCATCTTTGAGGGAGGAAAAAGAAATGAAAACGCCCGGAAATGCCAATGCTATTGATACATGATGTGAACTTTCGATGTGTGGTTGGGGGTACGCGACTGCCGGTCGAAGTCGGGACAGACGCAGATTTTCTCCGATGCGCTAAACTTCACTCATCTGGCTAGCGCTCCCTGAACACCTTCCATCCTGATCACATCACTTCTATCGCTCAAGCCTTGTCACTACTACGATATCGTTGACATTCTATACGCATCGCATTACTGCTAGCTGTACTCAGGCCTTGCTCGATATCACGATCTGATTGATCCACGGCATCCCCTAGAGAGCCTCGACATGCGGCTGGTCTATGACCTCATGATGTTTTTGGAAAAGAAATGCGGGAAGTGTCCTAAGGAAGGAAGTAATTGAACGGGCGTAGAGCTGAAACTGTAGAAACCCTCTCTGCAATACGGTATAGCCTGTCATCGCTGTATGCACCGTCGCGGTTCCATAGACTTGGGACACGGTCTTCCTGAAATGGTTTAGACCGTCCCCAGGCGAACTTATCGCATACGTCCTTAGAGCTAACAACAAGTCATGTCTTGCGACAACGCGTCCCTTCGTATTTATCACCGCCGTCCCGCTTGATAGCCAAGATGACTCCTCTTTTCGGCTTTCACTTCTTATCATTTGCCGCCATTTGTGCTCCCTGCGGAGGTTACATCGGCCTTGCAGAAGCGGGGCGAGTAACAAACAGCCAAGACATGGTATCTTCATGCTGTGATATGTTCACGACAGCGAACTGAGTGCGCGATCACTTGTATCGTCTCATACCGACAATGTTGATTTTGGTGTTGTCGCAGTTTATCGGCCTCGTTACCGCGCTGCAACCTCTTCCGCCTGTCTCACCACGCTACAGCAACAGCGACGACCTCGGCTTCTCTATCGGCACAGATGCAAGAAAGATATATATCGACAGAAGTTTCGCCACAAAGAGAGACTCCGAAGGTCTAACGCTCATACCGCCAACTGCCTATGAGTTCGCTGAAACATTCCGCACCGACATCTCATCACTATTCGGTGGTTCCTGGACTCTGGAGCAAGTAGACAACTTCCCACTCACTGGCATCCATATCGGCCCGATTCGATACAGTAATCTCTCATTGACATACGAGAATGGTCAGCCTACAGAAGAAGGATATGAGCTTGAGGTTACCAATGGCACTGTATACATAGGCGGAGCAGGTGCGAGAGGCATGTTCTGGGGAACGCGCACCCTACTGCAGAAGTTCTTGATCGACAACGGCTCTCTCATGACGGGTCGGATACTTGATGCGCCTGCATACAGCACACGAGGGTTCATGCTCGACGCGGGTCGTAAGTGGTACGATAAGGACTTTCTCAAAGAGCTCTGCACATATGCCTCTTTCTTCAAAATTTCAGAGTTCCACTATCACTCTAGCGACAATTATCCCTTGAACCGTGGCCGCAATGAGACGTGGCAAGACGTGTTCTCGCATTTTTCGCTGTTCCCGGAAGAAAATGTAGAACTGCAGGCCATCATTCAGCGCCCAAACGAGACACTTTCACGTGTCGAATTCGAAGACTTCCAACAGCATTGTGCGCAACGTGGTGTCACCGTCATTCCCGAGATCGAAGCACCGGGCCATGCCTTAGCGATTACGAAATGGAAGCCTGAGTTAGCGCTAGCAAAGAAGGACCTGCTCAACCTGAGCCATCCGGACGCAATTCCAACAGTCAAGGCAATCTGGTCTGAGTTTCTCCCATGGTTTCAAACGAAGGAGGTACATATCGGCGCTGATGAGTACGACTCCGATCTAGCGGACGACTACATCAATTTCGTAAACGAGATGGCCGACTTCATCAGCAGCACTTCTGGGAAGCGCGTACGTATCTGGGGCACTTACGAGCCATCCGAGAACCTCACCATCTCGAAAGACATCATCGTACAACACTGGCAATACGGCCAATCTGACCCTCTCGAGCTCCAGAACGATGGATACGACATGATCAACTCTGAGGATTGGTGGGCATACATGAGTCTCAAGAATGATCATATGCCCATCCTTCCGGCGCCGTACCCGCAGTTCTACAATAATACGCGCACCATGAACTTTGCCAACGTACCAGGATGGCAGTGGGAACCATCGCTCTACAATCCAGTCAATACCACAGAGCAGCTGGAGCCCAGGGCTAGCGGCAACAAAGGCGCTATTCTTGCTGCTTGGAACGATAATGGTGCGGATGCGACTACGCAGCTGGAAGCCTACTATGCAATGCGAGAGGGTATACCAGTTATGGCGGCGCGTGCGTGGGCGGGTGCGCGAGGTGCAAAGATTGACCCGGACGAGTTGGCGGACAGCGTTGCGCTTCTGGTATGTTCAGGCGAAGCGAGTAGTTCATGCATCTTGACTTGGCGGCTAACGTGAGTTTTGGCAGGCAACTAAAGCTCCCGGACAAAACCTAGATCGCCGTTTCACAAGCACGAACATGGATACACAAAGCTCAGCGCTGGTATCATGGACGCGAAATTCTTCCAGTTACAGTAACGCGACGCTGGGCATGGGCTCATACGGACCACCGTACACCCTGACCCTGAACGTATCCTCATCCTTCACCTTGACCGGTCCTGATACCTCGCTATCTCTTGCAGATCTCCCAAACAACTCCAGTGGCAGCACTACGACACTCATGTTCACCACGGCCGATGGCTTCGAGTATCCTTTACGTTCCGTATCTCCGTTTGATGGCCACGACCCTGGCCATCCGGGTCGCATATGGACCAACCAGACGACGTCGTCACATGAGCCAGTGCCGATCTCGCTGCCAGCGAACTTGCGCATTGAGACCGATGTGTTGAGCGGTAGTCGCGTCTGGGTGAATGATACATTTGCGGGTCGATTCGAGGTGTTCGTATATGGGGGTCGCAATACGCTGTTTAGCTGGAGTCAGATGGCGCTTGTTGCACCGCTGGACGTGGTAGAGAGCGGTGTTGATAGCTTGATGCTTCAGACTGGCGTTATGCTGGGTAGATCATAGGAGGATGTAATGCAGTCGACGCGGTATAGTAAGTGCAGACACTATACATGTTGTAATGGAGATTGAATAGATAGGCTCGATGAGCTTTGATTGCTCAAACCAACATAATTCATCAACGGTAGCCCGAGCATGGTTTCTGAAACCAGACAGTCATACCAGGTCCATCGATTTCCTTTCATCCCTCAATACGTCGCTGTTAACCGCCCAATGATATAATCCCCACTCATAACATCCTCATAATTCCTGCCCTTTTCGTATGTGCCCGGTATGGCCTCGATCTTGCGGTCGTAGTTCGGGTTGCAGAAGTAGGCTATCGAGTATCGTGGTGGGTATTCGTCCTTGTCGGCATCCTCCGGCTTTGGTGGTGGCTCCATGACGCGGTGCTTCGTTGACTTGATGGTGTCGTTCGACCAGCGTGCTAGTAAGTCGCCAGCGTTAACGACAATCGTGTCTTCGATAGGCGTGGCGTTGACGAAGGTGCCCTTGGGGGAGCGCACCTGAAGACCACCGCGGGCGTCTTGGAAGAGGAGGGTTATAGAGCCTGTTGTCGCGTCAGTTGGATCTCGTTACCGGGTCATGTTGAGAACCATACCGTAGTCGCTGTGCTCTCCTGCGCGCACCTGCTCCTGCCCATCATTCCTCTGGAAGATGCTCTTCGACACTCGCGGGTAGTGCAGCAGCCTCAGCGTGTTGTCGCCCGCATCCGTGAAGCCATCGAACCACTTCTCATCGATGCCCATGCCCAGGGCGATAGCACGCATGACCTGCATGTGCAGGTCCTTGCATGTCTCGAAGAAGCCCATCATCTGCTCCTTGAACTGCGTCGCCTCGTCGTCCCCACTCGGCCACATGTTTGGCATCTCAGGCTGGTCGTCGCGTCCAATCTCCATGCTCTCCTTCAGATCTGGCACCAAGGCGCGCATCTCCGCTTCTGTGCCTGTCTCTTCCAGTACTACCAGCTTCTCCCGCCCTTGTGTGACATAGCCGCGGTTGGCGGCAGCTGAGTACCATGCCAACTTGTCCTTTTGCTCTTTTGGCCGCGCGAAGAACTTGGCGGAGTGCGAGAATACGGTGGATACGGTCGAGGGGGATATGCCGTGGTTCTTCAGGTAGATGAAGCCGGCGTTTTGGAAGCCTTTGAGGACGGCGTCGGCGGTTTGCTTCTTCGCGTCGGCGTCGCCTGAGAGGAACACGGAGAAGTCGATGAGCTGAGCATGATTAGGTGCTGGTCGGAAAGCATGAACGCAGATAAAGTACCGGAATCTCCAGGTCGTCCTGCGAGACGGCTGATGTGATGTTCGCCATGTCGTCACTCCTTGTCGCGTCGTTTCAGTCCAAGCTCGGAAGGGGGTGCAGGAGAACGGCTGCTATAAAGTCACTCGCGCGACGAAGAGAGAGACTTGGATATCAGGCGATTGGCGCGTCAGCGGCCATCTCCGCCGTAAATCAGCCATGATGGGACAGCTAGATGTTGTAGGCGGGGTTGTTGCCGAACACAGAAGGTGTACACGCGCGCGATAAGGCTAATGGTGGGGTCGCTTGGCCGGAACCTCAACACCACGCCTGTATCGCGACATCCATCTACGCCTATCATACAGCTGTCTCGACGAGCTCGAGCTCGTCTCGTCTCAACCTGTCTCGTCCATGCTCAAACTGTACTGCCCTCCGCTTAGCTGATGGACCCGAGATGATCGCCTTGTCGCTGGTCGCACCGCCACTTTGAACCCGTCATCATCAATTCTGACATCGGTTAACTACCATACCAGGGAATCTTAATTGATGGATCGCAGGAGCACACTTGAAACATGGCTCTCATTACAATATCGGCAAGGCGATGGAAGCGATCCTCATTTGCGTAGTTCGAGGCAAGATGTCCAAACGACTACAGGCATGTTCTAGGTTACGGAAGGAGCACGACAGCTTAGCTTAACGCCTATAAAAGAACCTTGATGGACACACCAACACATCAAAAAATACAATAATGACGGAATGGCAGGATACGGTTTCAATCCGCTCAGTGAAAAGTATGCGAGTTCATCAACGTCTTACGATGGTATCTGCCTTTCCTATGTCTACTCTCTCGTCTTCTGCAGTCAATGAACATCGTCAACAGCTCATAAAGAAAGATAAGCTCACTTCTCTGCTTTCCAATGGTCCCTCAAGTACGCACATGTTGTATCTCTTCCTCAACTCCGCGCATAAAGCGCGGATATCAATGAAAAGGAAAGGTGGGCCGTAAGTGAACCCGGGATTGCCAGTTCCTCGCTTCCTATCTTCCATTCAATATCTTGTCTCATTGGTAAGAGGGTGATAAAAAATGGTAAGCAGTCCACGATGGTCCGAACGCTCACGTCATCTACTAGAGATGTCAACCCAAACACCCAACATCTCCAACGTTAATTTTTACCAGAACGCCGGATTTGCTGAATGCTTGGTAAGTATTTCGTCCAGGATCGAGCATGTCATCAAAATGACGTAGCTCTGAGCAACGAGAGGAGCGGACTACTGCGCCGGACGGTCGCGATCATGACCAGCTCGTCGTTCTCGTACTGTGCGCGGATCCATACAAGTAGCGACGAGGCGCACCAGGTGCTCTGGCAGTGCTCGAATGCGCTTGAGTTGGTCGGGGTACTTGTCGAGTAAATCTTGTCGAAATCCGCCGTTTCTGCAGTGCGAACTGGGCCGGAGACTGTTTCTCCTGAAGAAGAAAAAGAGAGCAAGAAGGGCAGGGGAGAGCGAGATTATATGCTCCTAGCAACGCGCTAGCAATCGCTCACGTGATGCCAGTAATTCGCGCGCTGGAGCCTGGAGACGCAGGAACCGTGTGAGTAGTGAAGGGGAGAGGAGTCTCAGCTCCCAATTAGGTTAGACCCATGTCACTGCAAACACCCAGCGCACACAACGACGAAACCCGCTCAACCCCAAATTCTCAGACTCTCAACATCCTCTCCCATTGCCTACCTTTCCGACCCGATCATGGACCCACCACGCATCCAGGCGCTCGTGGAGGAGCTGCGGGAGACCATCAAGGCCCTCAACCGAGAGAAAGAGGCCCACAGTGCGACCTTTCAAGAAGTCATCAACCTCAGGAAGCATCTGAGGGAATCGGACCGCAAGCGGAAGGTCCTTGAAGGCGACAACGAGCTCTTGGTCCTCAAGTGCAAGTTCCGAGAGGGAGATGGTGAAGACAAAGACGGTGGAAGCAGCGATGGCGACATGACAGCAGTCCATACTGACGACAAGGCGCTCAAGTCTGACCTACCCGACGCCCCAATCCATCACCCAGGAATGTACAAGGCTTTCTCGGCCTCCCATTCGGAAAGTCTGAACGCCTCGTCTTCGGCAAACCACTTGGACCACACCACCCACGCTCTCTCAGAAGACAACGTCGCCGGCTCTACCCACGGTACCAAGCGGACCTTCGATGAAGCCAAGTAAGTAGTCGCCACGATACCACAGCCATTTCGCTAATTGATCTACAGCTCCGAAGATACCACGCGCGTCATCGTGTGCGTACACTGCTATTCACTCAAGCTCCGATGCGACTCCGGAGAACCTTGCAACAACTGCGCCACATTCAAGCGCCTTTGCAAAAGGGCCAAATGCAAGGACTACGAGACTGGAGAATGCAAGCGAGCCAGCTGTCTGAGAGCACATCGCGAGGATGAGGAGGTATACGACAACATCGTCCGCACAGGACATATCGCGAGGGTTGATCCTTCCAAGCCCGCGAAGCCCAAACCAAAGAGGCGGCGGGCCTTCCGGTGCAAGAAGAACGACGATGACAAGAAGGGTGGTTCAGGAGACTCTGATGGTGGTGGTGGTGGTGGTGGTACGAGTACTCGCGTTCCTCTGCATTATTAGTCCTGCAAGGAGTGCCACGAGGATATCAGGAGTGAGATGGAAGCCACCCATGAATTTGATAGAGCACAAATGTAAACATACACTTCTCGATGCTGCCCAATTCCCGCCTACTTTGGATCAACGCTGCTATATTCGTGAACACTCTCAAGTAGGCCTGTCATGCTACAGGAGATTTCCGGGCTGCAGTATCGTTAGCGGCATGCCCATGTATCTCATAGGTAGGTTGTCAGCCAGCTATGCATTGGGCAATTTGGATGATGTTTACCTCAAACACTACCATCCTTCTGCTTTTGTCGCCGCGCCAAAGAGATGTCGTCAGGAACGAGGATGAATATTGATCAACCTCCGTGGACTATATAGGATGAACTGTAGTATAGGTGTCTCAAATAGCATAGTATTGCGTTCCAGCTACCTGTAGACGTCAGCTGTCAGCATGGACACTAGAAGTGGCCACAATTTGAGGGGTATTATGTGAAAGCGGCATTGAGGTAGAAGTATACATGATCTCAGAGATAGTCCAGTTGTCAACATTCGATTGTATGTATGCGACAAAAGTTCTAGCCACCCCTGGTGCGGATGGACTCAGACAATTGCTGCTTGTACCGTGATGCGCTAATCAAGACTATCCAGCTTTCGTACCTGCCAAGACTAGACGTCTTACTCTACTTCACCAAGGCACTGGACGCAGACGTCACAACACACTGAACAAGCATTGGCCGATGGTTGCCTTATAGGCTGATACTGACTTGTCTCACTCCGATGCATTTCCTCAGTTGGTCGAGTTCGGCGACGATAACAATTCTCATGCGATTTCATTGAATGATCTTTTCGATCATCGGTCCGTTCTATACGTATGGCTACGGTATTTTGTAATGAAGCATTTGTCGCCAACTCGTTCCCTACTAGGCAACGTTCAGATAAGCAAATCGCCTAGTCAAGGTCTTCAATCCACCTGTACAAGTAGATCTCCAAGAGCTCATTCTTGATCATCCTTGTTTCCGCCTTGATCCTCCTAATTTCCGCGTTTTGCTTAGCTTCCCTGGCTTCTAGAACATCGCGCTCGATCTTCTGGGCCTCCGACTCAACCCTCAGAACAGCTTTCGCCCGTTTAAACACTGCTGTTTTCTTCTTTGCCTCTTTCGCCTGCTCCAAATATCTCGCTGTTTGCTCCTCAATCATCGCTATCTCCTCGCGCCGTGCTTTCTTCCTTTCCTCCTTGGCTCTTGCCTTTTCTTCCTTGACTCTCGCTCTCTCCTCCTTCCTCTTCTTTGCTGCCTCTGTTGTTGCCATCCACTCCTTCTTTACAGCCTTCTCTTTCTGTATCTCCTCCACTAGACCAGCTTTCTCCTCCGCTACACGAGCTGTCGCCTCTCTGTCCATGTCGCAACTTTGTTCCAAAAGCTCGATCCACTCTCTGAGGAATCGCTGGTGAAGATCCCGGTGCGCTTGCTTGAGTTCCTCATGATGACGGAGAGTGGAGGGGTCGGCGTTGATCGCGAGCGCAGCTTGGCAGTCTTGTTCGAGTTTGGCGGAATCGGTAACGAAGACGAGATGATCCTTTCCTTTTTTTGAAAGTTGTGCTTTGAGCTGATCGCGAATCTCGTTGAATGTCGGCGGACCGAAGAATGGAAGGGCTGTGGTATCTGTACCGTCGTCGCTGTCGGTATGTGTGTTGTCGGGCTCGGTGGAAGACATCGTGGATCTTAGAAGACGGCGTGTCGCGCTTGTGGAGCAGTATGTAGACTCAGACGAGAAGACAATATAGCGATGGCTGTAGTGGTGACAGAGTATGAAGCGCGGGGTTGTAGAGTTTGTGTGCTCCTTGGCAGATCTAGCCCGTTACGGAAACGTCAGTGAAAGACACGGACGGCGGTTGCTCGATATATGACGACTCACTCACATCAAAATCGAGCTTATCGTTGCTGAGCAAATAGAAATGGATTATTTGTCGAGCGGCGCGTGTAGAAATATTGCCTTTTTCGGTGTCGGTAGCGCCAATAGAGCCCTGGAGGTGTAGGCAGCAAAGCATACGGTCAGGTGTCGGTGTATTTGAGCGTTTGATTGGCCGCTCCTCTCTACCTCGTCGTATCATTCGCTGATAAGGCCGTTTGGTTTACCTGAGTGACGTCGCAAATTATCGCGAAAATACGCACTGACTATATTCCACGCACTCACCTTTTCAAAGTCATATTTGTTTAAACAAATCCACTTCTTTCCTACTATCCTCATCTTCGAAGCCTACGTATCTCACCCAACGCACATCAGCAACTTTCCTGCAGCCACTCGCCCGCCCGCAACGAGCCCATATCAAGATGTCTTCCGTCGCAGATCTCGTTCAGCAGCTCGCCGATATGAAATTGAGGATGGCCGCCAAAGATCGAACAATTGCCGCCCAGAACCAGAAGATGGCCGACAAGGATCTGGCAATCGCGCATTACCACAAGAAGTCCAAGTCCCGCAAGTTTCGGATCGAAGAGTTGGAGGCAGATCTTGAGGAAGCGAAAGAGAAAATCGCAGAGATCGACTCCGGCGACTCGGACGCCACGAACGTCCAATATATCGAAGACAAGCCGAAAGAGGCCCCTGAGTACTACGACGACTATTACGGCCCCTGTATCGAAGCTCAGGCGCAGGTCCAGGTTCTCAAAGCAGAGAATGCCAACCTCAAGTACCAGTATTTCGTTTCCGGGCTTACCATCCAGCCATGGAGTGGAGCCGTTGTTGAGCCTGCAGCCGAGACTACTTTTCCCAATGACGAGCCCTCGGATGAAACCATTGTTACCTCTGCGGCCGAGACTGCTTCCCCCACTGACGAGCCATCGGATGAGACTATCGTCGCGCCTGAAGCTGATCCTGCTCCCGCCGACGACGAGCCGAGAGGCCACAAGCGTACTCTTTCGCAGTCCGAGGTCGCATCAACTGAGAAGGTCGAGAGCAAGAAGGCCCGCCCTGCATTCTGGAGTGGAGACCTGACGAGGCGACCTAAGAAGAACAAGGCCGCCACACGGAAGACACGTGAAGGACAGAACCAGGTTTGAGGTAGACATATCCCCAGGCACATGTTGAACAATATGCTAACATACCTTTTAGCAGCTACATGGGCGCCCGTTAGTATCTTCAGTCCCCCGGAAGCTCACTGAAGCTTGCCGGGCCTCATCATTGGTCCTGATGTATGCGGTAGTGTTGGGGATGGATTGCAGCATACTAGGTCGGATTGCAAGGTCGACTGATGTCGCTGGATAGATAGTGAGGAATTCGAAGCACCGAACTATTGAGATTGACAACCTGATTGTGATCTGACATCCTCCCTGGTGTTTTACAAGCTGCCTTTGCGTATGCTGTTGATGCGATGTTGTCGTGAAAGAGACATAGGAATCTCAGACTTGCGAGGTTGGAAGACACGTACCTCGGCGTTAAAGTGGATACCTCGATGCTTAACTCCGAGCTTGTGAGGCGCAGCTTCCTCATACCGCCATTTCGTCTCAGAAACAACAGAGTGCACCTTTGACTCAGACTGCGGCCTGGTCCTGGTTCAGACCCATCCAGCACTACCAACAACTCAACATGTCGTTCCCGCAGTGCGCATCTCCGCTGTTCGAGCTTCCACAGGAGCTTCTCGAAATCGTACTCAGCTATCTTCCTCCGTCCCAAGACGTGTTGAACCTGTCTCGCACCTGCAAAGCCATGCACGCAAAGACCATAGCGCATCTATACGGCAACATCAACATGGAATGGCAGGTCATTCAAGCAACTCGCCCACTGACTGTTGCTGGTGTGGATATCCCACAAGCTCTCCGTCCCAACCTTCTTTTGCAAACGATCTTGGCGAATCCCGCATACGCGCAATCGATTACTGCTTTGAAACTGCAGAGTACCGAGCTTGGGGATCTTTGGTATTCGTCACTTGTTAATCCACGCAGACGGGAGCCTTTGGCGAAACTGCACCCGGATGTTGCCTCAACTTGGACGAACGCGAAGCAGCGACTGGCCCTGAACGCCGTACGGGATGCAGGGCTGGAGTGGCACCATAGAGGACGCGGAGACCCTTTTGCAGTCGGCGGTTGTTCTTGGTATGAAGCCATCCTGATGTACGATCTGGATGCTACCTTAGCGCTGCTCGTGTGGATTTGTCCCAATCTTGTATCACTCGATCTAGGGTTCCACATCGGCGACGACGTAGTGTACCTCCCTGAGGTCTTGTGGAAGCTGTCCTCTGGTGATGCGGAGTCACAAGCTCTAGGATGTCGCAAGCTTCGAAACGTTCATCTCGGCCATGTGCACATCCCTGAGGAGGAGCAACCGAGTGACAGGTGGAGTCGGGTCAGATATCTACACCCGCATCTGGATTGGAGGGGGTATTGGGCTTTCTTTTGGTGCCCAGACATCCAGAAGATCGAAATGAACCTGATGGATGAGACTGCACATGCAGGTATTCAGGAAGCAACATCTCTACCTGTCTGCTCAACGTTGACGACACTGAGACTTGGCGAGTCTTCAGTAAATCCAGACACACTCGCGAAACTGTTGTCGTGCACACCAGCTCTGAGGAGATTAGACTACGAATACTGGGTTCGCGATCAGGCGTTCATCACCGTGGATTGTGCGTCGCTCAGCGCCGCCCTCAACAGTGTTAAGAGCACCTTGGAACATTTGAGATTCTTCTGTCAACTGCATTCGCCGGGGTCCGTTGACGTTTGCGGAAACTGCGATTTTCGGGACTATCCCGTTCTCTCCTCCCTCCACGTCTCGCCTGCCGTGATACTAGGCGGTGAGGCTTCCCTTTGGCCCCGAATCGAGGAAGTCATCCCATCGAGTTTGGAGGAGCTGTGCTTTGTCGACGATGATTTGCTCGAGTTCTGGAGCCCGAAGGAATTGATACCGTTGCTAGACGACTTTTTCCAGGGCGATTGGAGAGCTAGAACACCAAAGCTGCAACGCGTGTACGCGACGAATAAAAAGTCCTGGCTGGATGCGTATGGAACGGACTATCTGCGGATGTTGAGCGAACAAAATGGATTAGAGTATGGTAAATAACAACAGAGTAAGAGAATGAAGCTTTCAAATTTACAACATTGCGACTGTCGGGGATTCTGGCACGAGAACTCCGAAGCCGAGACAATACGAAATGTCCATGCGGCTCAGTCGGCGCGAAGCGTTCCGGCGTGTACCGACATCACGATGATGGCGATGATGTTCGTGCTGCATCGGGAGCTGGACCCTGAGATCGCGTATTATGGGATGACGTCTTCGATTGACCACAGACGCGACGCGCGATCGTACAAAGACAATGGCATACCACGATTTCTTGCTGAATCTCATCCCACATCTACAATCCCATCTCGCTGCATCGCATCCGTACACGTGACCCTACGTCCATTCCCACTACAGCCTCGAACTCCATCACAGCCTCCAGTATGGGCAACACACAATCTACCGTGCGCTACCTTGCGCCGGCATCCTTCATCTACGACTTTGCTCTGCAACAATATGGCATCTTCTCGTCGCCCAACATGATGGATATCCACAACCGGAATCTCGCAGCTTTCAGCCCGTATCCATACTTCATCGGCGCATTCTTCTTCCCACAGCAAATCTTCCAGCTGGTCTGGTTGTGGAAGCTGTGGAAGCAAGATGGTAATGCGCAAGAGTGTGCGATGATGAACAAGTTTGCTTGGGTTTACAGTCTGGGCAACTTTTGCATTGGAAGTACGTATTATTGAAGTATATCGTGGCGATGTAGGATGTATACTGACGCCTGCGACAGCTTGGATGTTCTTCTGGAACTCGAACAACCTGGAGACATCGAACATCTTCGTCATCATTAACACACTGGCACAAGTCGGTTACATCGCCACGGCGCTTGAGCCGCTCGACACGCGATCAACACCCAACCTCCTCACCCACATTGTCTCGAAGACATTCGCGGGTATCGGTGTACTGGATCTCCTTCACAACACATCTGCAGCCTACTTTGTAGGTGTAGAGCCCAGTTCGCTGGTGCAGGTGGCTACCGGTGTTGGTTTCGCCGCGGCGGCCAGTATGAGCGACTGGATCTTCGGCGGCTGCTTGGTATACGACCTGGTTGCGTTGACTGTCGGACAGGAGGGCAACTGGTCGAGGCTGCTAGGAGGATACGCGGCCATGACAGCGGGTATTGTGGCTTTCAGGAACTTCTTCTAGTAGGTTCACTCGGCCGTCGCATGCTGAGTCGTGCTGACGGATCGCAGTCCAAGGTGGAAGGCGCAGAAGGAGGGAAGGTACGCCAGGGTCGAGAATGGCGGTGACGTGGTTTAGATATTGAGGGGTCGCAGGTCGCGATACTTACCTTGATGCGAACATCTCAGTGATGTGCACGTTGATTACTTCCTATAATGATAATTAAACTTCGTATCACTTTGTGGTCCCGGTAACACTCCGATCTGGTTCGCTCTTATCGATATGCGGGTTCCAGAAGCTCGAGACACCACGATGCCTCAAGTCCAGCCTCACTCATGGTGGGTTTCTGTTACGTTTCGAGGCAGATCTTAGTGCAGTGTATTAGTTGACGCTTGAAGGCCGAAGCGACGGACCCATCCGATGGCGGAGAGGAGGGGCAGATAGGCATGCATCGTCATTACAGCTGGCGCGCCATAGGCCGACCCTATATTGAAGTTGATCGATCTGTGATGTGCGTAGATCTCGCGATGCCAGATTGGTGCTGCGAGATCCAGCCGGTGTCCCTTCCGCGTGACGTGCCAGCCTGATGGTCGCCGCCAAGGCCCGCGAACGGCGGCAAGCAGCTCGGAGACATGTGCGCTAGCATGATGCGCGTGCGCGCCCTTGCCCTCGAGATAAGCAACTCTTATCAATCACTCATAGCATCCCACCCGCCCAAGTCACACTGCTCCCGTCATGGCAGGCCTAGCCGCAACGGATACCGCTTGGCCTAGCATCGGTCATGCGAGCCCGCCGGGGGATCCTCTAGCATGTGGAGATGCTTCCTTTTGGGAGCCTGCGGTTGGCTGGCGTGGATGACTGTTGACGGCCGTGAGCTGCTGTATGTCTTCTGTCACACTGCTCTGACGTCTCGTGTCTTTTCTTCTACTCTTCCTCTTCCATTATCTGCATCCCGCGCTTCTCGTGGCTGTCATAACTTCCACTTCTGCACGCCGAGTCTTATCAGCAACTGACCGGTTCAACGACGTCACAGCGCCGAGCTTTGGAACAGCGACTCTCACGCGACAACTTATACATATCTCTTGAAAGGCGGTCGCTCGGCCTGTACTTCAATTCTGACACTGACGTTACGCGTGCGTCGTATACGAGGTTGCATCCACGCCTCTGTGGCTGTACCAAGAGCCCGAATCAGCGCCTGACCACCCAGCCTGCGCTACCGAGACGTGAGGAAGAAGCAAGAAGCAGCCAGTGCCACGCGCGTTGGAGTTCCGGTTGAATCTCTACGGCAGTCACAGTCCAGAAAGCTGCGTCGTTCCTTCCCATCGAACCCTCGAATTCGACCTATGGCACCATGCCTCCATACCTATCCCCCCTACACATAGCCAAACCCACGTTACCACCGACTTGCGAACCTGCGAACGAGTTCCTTTATCATCTCTCGGCGGCATTTCACACCTGCGTACCTACGAACCTCGCGCTCGTCTCGACATTGCTCGGCACGTGCAGCATCATATCATGGCTGTTCGCACAGCTACCACAAATATACAAGAACCATAAGCTGAAGTCAACATCTGGACTGAGCGCGTTCTTCTTGACAGAATGGCTCCTGGGTGATGTGACGAACCTGCTGGGCTGCCTGTTCACCGGGCAGGCGTCATGGCAAGTCATTATCGCAGGCTACTACGTCTTCGTTGACTGCTGCCTGTGTGGTCAGTGGGTGTGGTACGAGCTGTTGCACCATGGAAGGCCACTCAGGCCGATTTGGGGTCGATGGAGCAGCTCAGCTGGCAGCGGTTCAGGTGCCGGAGGCTCTGCCATGCATCAGGTTCTGGATGGCATGAGCATAGGCGGTACGAACAACGCGTCTAGCCCGCCAAAGTCACCGCAAGATTCAAGCGATAGGAAGAACATTACACAGGATAGCGCGGCCAAAGACGTACCGCGCTCGAACGCGAAGGAAACCTTTAGGATACCCAACTTTGCGCGCTCGCCCATGCCTACGAAGGAATCATGGCAAAGTACATCTCCTTCAGGCGCATCACCCAACCCCAAGGTGCGGATAGCAGCCTCGAGCTCACCTATGCCCTCGCCCAAGACCGTCCTATACATAACCCTCATGATCGCAGTACTCGCCAACCCTACCACCGCTACGCCGATAAGCCCCTTCGCGCCAGGCCTCACCCGTGCTCGCAGCCTTTCCGCATACACAACTACCGCGACCAGCTCGCCCAGTGCCTCCGAAACCGCCGGCAAGGTTTTCTCATGGATGAGCACGTTCCTATACCTCGGATCGCGCCTCCCCCAACTCTACATGAACCAGGTCCGCAAATCGACAGCCGGTCTGTCTCCCACCCTCTTCGCGGCAGCCTTCTTCGGCAACCTCTTCTATTCAACTTCCCTCCTCACAAACCCTTGCGCATGGTACGACTACGCGCCAGGCGAAGGCTCCGGCTGGGTCGACCCCCAAGGCAGCGTAAGAGCAGACTGGGTCCTACGCGCCGCACCCTTCTTCCTCGGCGCAGCAGGCGTACTCCTCATGGACGCAGCAGTCGGTCTACAATTCTGGCATTTCGGCGACGCCACACCCCGGGGTCGGTCACCGACGCCCCGCGACGACGAAGTCATCATCACCGTCGACGACCACGGTAAGCTGGTGCGCAGGAGTATGCATTGGCGCCGTGTAAGCGGGTGGATGAGGGGTTGGGCTCCGGCTGTTAGTGTGGCTGCTACGCCGAATGTGAGCCGCGCGAATACGCCGATGGATTCTCCGAGGGATGCTAGTCCGGCGAGTACGGCTGGAAGTAGTTCGAGCAAGAGCATTCCTATCAAGGGTAGGGGTAGCGCGTTGGATGAGGCGAGGGCGCTTCTGGGGACGAGCAGACATGCGAGTCCGAGGAGCTATGGGGCCGTGGGTAGTCCCAGGTAGTAAATTCGTTGCATTTGCGGCGATCGATGGGTTTCTTGTGTGCGTGGCATCTTGCATCTACAATGGGCGTTTGGGAACATGGCCTATAGCCTATACATATTAGCTTACGAAATGATCATAATCCTTACCATAACAATTCTGCTTGAAAAGCGACTTGCAAAAGAATCACCGAGCCAAAACAAAGTCAGTGTTCAGATAGATAGTAGAGAACAATAGTTGTAACGTAGTAATACTGCAGTTGATCTTCCGCTGTTTCATAAAGGGTTCCTATCTATCTACGATTGTCCAAACAAAGCAACCAAGTCTAACCCGCCTCTGACTCTGGCAAAAGGGAAAAAGAGCACCAAAACGCCGAGCTCGACTAGCAACAAGAACATGTGACCAGACCGAAAACCCGAAGAGCCGCCCTACTGCTGCGAGGTATCACACCCTTATACAAAACGTGACGAGTAATCGTACAGAAGAAGCCGGGAGGTGTGTGTGTGTGGTGTACATAGGCAACGCCGTGGATGAGCGCTTGCCCTTCAGGAAGTTCGAACTTTTAGGGAATCTCTAGAAAAGGATGGGGAGGTAGTAACGCCATTTGGAGGGAAAGGCGTTTAGACACGCGAGACATCGCGACCGAAGCACTTGGCCTTGGCCCAGTCGAGCATGACCAATATCCTGTTGCGGGTGCTGAAGCACATGCTGAGGTAGGCGGAGCGCCAGAAGATGTAGGTGATGGTACCGCCGGAAGCGATGTTGCCGGAGAACCACGAGATGTCGGCAACGGCCTTCTCGGAACCAATGTAGGCGAGCGAACCCTGGTGAGAGTACTCGAAGGGACCGATGGATTTGATCCTCCTCAGCCTCTGCTGCAGAGCCTTGATCTCGCCGAAGACCTTGTCACGGGCCTCCTTGCCGGGTGCTGTCTCCTGAGCGACGGAGAGCTCAGCAAGCTCACCCTCAATCTCGGAGGTCTTGGCCATGTTGTTGAACATGCGGGCGAGGAAAGCACCCTCCTGAGCAGCGACCTGGGCGGTGGGGGCGTAGTTGGCAACAGCGCAGTCACCGACAGCCCAGACGTTCTCGGTACCCTTGACAACGAGGTACTCGTTTACGGCGAGACCACGGCGGGAGTCCTTCTGTGCGGGGATCTGGTTGATGAGGTCCTTGACGATGGGTCGGAGAGCGTTACCGGTGGCCCAGACGAGGAGACCGTAGGGGATCTTCTCGAGCTGCTTCTTGCCGTCGGGGCCAGTCGACTCAGCCTCGATGAACTTGGGTGTGACGTTCTTGACCATGGTCTTTGTGCGAATGGTGATGGTCTCCTCCTTGAAGGTCTTCTCGGTGTAGTCGATGAGCTGCTTGGAGAACATGGGAAGGACGTTGGGGAGGGCCTCGACGAGGGTGACGTGGAAGTTATCCTGGATCTCGGGAAGCCACTTCTTCAGATCAGAGTGGAAGAAGTCCTGGAGTTCACCGGCAAACTCGACACCGGTAGGTCCACCTCCGACAACGACCATGTGTAGCAGGCGCTTCTTCTCCTCGTCGGACTGGTCCTTGAAGGTAGCAGTCTCGCAGCAGTCCATGATGCGGTTTCGGATGCGCTGGGCGTCGCCGACCTCCTTCAGGAAGAGACCGTTTTCCTTAACACCGGGGATACCTGTTCCATGTTAGCTGAGTTCGGGTGAGAATGGGCGGATGACGCACCGAAAGTGGCGTTCTCAGCACCAACACCAACGACGAGCATGTCAAAGGGCACCTCGGTCTGGGAGACGTCGCCCTTGATGTCGGAGTCGTCGCTGATGTAGACGACCTTCTTCTCGTAGTCGATCTTGGTGGCCTCGGCTTCGTAGTATTTGACCTGGGCCTTCTTGTGGCGCAAGAAGTTGCGGATGGGCTCCATGATGGAGCGGTGCTCAATGGTGCCGACGGTGCATGAGGGCAGGAGGGGTGTGAAGAGGAAGTAGTTGCGCGGGGAGACGACGATGACATTGTAGTTTTCAGTGTCGAGCTTCTTCAGCAGGGAGACGGAGCCCCAGCCGGTACCTGTCGCGTGTCAGATGCATCTATGCGTGCTGAGTCATTCGTCGCTACTCACCGAGGACGACGAGCGTCTTCTTGCTTGGGTCAGGCGGCGGCTGGTCGGCGGGGTTGCGAGTCTCGTAAATGCCGTATCCGACGTATCCCAGACCGGCGATGGCGGAGAGGTACGTGAGGCGCCAGGTCCAGCGCAGGAGGCGGAACCTCTTGGCCTTGGGCTTGGGCGCGCTGCTCGACTGCTGGCGGACAGACTGGCGGAGAGCAATCTGGCACTGCGTAGGCCGGGGCGTCCATTGCGCTCTGTTGGCGATAAGCGACGGGCGCTGCGTGGTGAAGGTCCTGCGTCCAGCCAGCTGAACCTGCGAGAGCACATTGGCAGCGGCGAGCGGCCTCATGGTGGGTGCCATTGCAATGGTGGAAGCTGCGGGAGAGCTTCACGGAGTCAATGGCTGGGTGCGGGTGGTAGGGAGGCGAGCGAAGGGATGGTGAGGATGTCTTGTCGGTGCGCGGGAGTCAACTTTTTCTTAGCGATGACGAACACCCACCCTACCAAGACGCCTCGCAGGGGTCTTTGCTTCTGCGCCGAAAGATAAGCCTTGTTCCAATTAAAGCCCGCCCTGCCCTGCCCGCGCCCACACGCGAATTGTTTCGAGCGCCAGGACAGCTACCATTAGTTCTCGAGGCCGATCACCCGCTACTCCCACGCTCTCGTTGGGATTGTGCTGATGCTCTTGTGGCTGCACCCAAACCTTCACCTCCACATCCAGTCATACACATCATCACATAGAGTGCAAAATGCCTCATTGCATTCCCAAACCCTTTCGCCCCCATTGCTCAGCTCAACAAGTCATGGCCTCGCCATTCCTCGGCTCGGCACCGACTCCGGTGGCCAGCCATGGGCATGCACTTTTGCAGTGAGCACCCGCGTCCGGTACCGCGGAGGCACACATGGTGGCTTCAAGTGCCTTTTAGCCGAGCCGCATGTCCCTGAGCCTCAGCGACCTGCATACTGGACTCGTAGACCGACGGGATTCCTGGTTTTGCGGACCCGCCTGCCCAGGGTTGTGGTAAATAGTCATCATCCTACATCGCCCGAAACGACACGCGCCACCAGTGCATCCTATGGATGACTCAAATATAGGATCCGGCAGGACGTGAAACGAGGCATATCTAAATTCGTGTCTCGACATTTGATGTCTCAACGTTAGATGTGACCATCCGTTCCTGCCCCACGAGATGTTGAGTGCTACCTAGGCTGCTTGTGGACTTGGCAGAAGCTACTCAGCCAGCATGAGGCTTCACTAAATCTATCTTGAGAATCTAGTACTCCGTTACACATATGCATCGTATGCACTTAGCTGATGCTCTAATCGATTTCGCTAATCGGTTTTACCGGCCTTGCTGAACACTGCGCCTTTCTAAGCATGCAACGACATTAGACCGTCACTACATTCTGTAACAAAACATCTCGTCAGTATGTAGCTCGGGACCGAAAGAATGTGGTTCTGGATCGCGAACAGTAAGCTCAATCTACAAGAAACAAACTTGGAGTGATGATGACATGCATTCACCCCGCCCACTTGCTTATCGATAGACATCCCCCTCACCTGGTAGTCCACTACACAACAGTACAACGATGTTCATTTCTCCAAACTTTCCAGTGTTCATAAACTACCCGTGAATCTAATACCATTCCTGTATCCAAACACTGAAATCTACGTAAACCATGCCTCACGCAACCGCAACCGTAAACGGCATCCTAGTAGCCGAGACCGACTCCTACGAAGTCGTCGACGGAAACATCTACGTAACCAATCCTTCTCCTTTCTTGTCCATCATAAGCCCCTTCAATCCATCTGATCCATGCCAGTTCCCACCCGACACTATCAAGTCCAACCACTTCAGCCCAACTTCAACTAAGACGCACTGCCCATATAAGGGAGACGCAAGCTACTACACCGTCACAGCCAACAAGACGGAAGTGAAAGATGCAGCGTGGTACTACCCGGAGCCGTTGGAAAGCATGAACAAGATCAAGGGGTATGTTGCTTTCTACAAGGGAAAAGCTGAGGTGAAGAGTGAGTGAAGGGAAGGACACATGGGGACATTGCAGGTTAAGTGTAAATCTGGGTATATTCAGTATCAATTGAACTCCCAAGAAACATAATGCAAATGTTCCTGTCTAACAACGCCGATAAAATGCTCATCATCATAACGTCTGGACTGGCTGTTCCCAGGCTCATGCATCAACAGCCATCATCATCGTGTCATCGCCATCGATGCCTACAGCCGGCGGCTCGATCATGACACCCCGTCCTCTTCCTTGAAGCAGCTCCCTTCGTACCTCTGCGCTAATGCTCCTGTGACCCCTTGTGAGCAGCAAGTCGAGTAGCGCCTCTCTTTGGTCTTCGGTGATGTCGTTCCTATATCTTTGCGCAAAGGCCAGCAAGCACTGATGCCAGATGACGGGCAATTTGCCCGTGTTGCCGAGGTCGCCTGCTACAGACTCCGTGTCCATGGCATCGGCACTGCTGGCACCTACACCGCGGAAGCGCAGGAAGTGAAAGACGAGCGCGTCGATGACCTTGAAGGGTAGGGCGTACTTCTTTTCGAGAAGGGTCTTGATGAAGATGTTGCAGGGGCCAGCGGCGTCGGGGTCGGATGACATTTGCTCGGCGGCGATTTCACACAGACGGTGGAGGGCGGCTGCGGAGTGTAGGACGGGCACGGAGACCTTGGCTACAACGGATGCCACGATCGTGGCGTCGCGCTGTGTGCAGGTGACATCCGTGAGCATGGGGAAAACCACACCCTTGAAGAAGGCGCTGGGCTTGTAGAGCGCCTTCTTTAGCGCATTGTACAGATGCACGTTCAGCTTGTGTGTCTCCCGGATGTTCTGTTGTACCAAAGGTAGCAGTATGGTGTTGAGGAAGGTCTGCGCTGTTCGCGGGTCTCTGGAGATGAAGATTCGGGTCGCAGCGAAGGTCGCGTTGGGTGTCCAGTCGTCAGGACGTGTGATGGCGACGAGCGTTTCCCAGGCGGGGATCGTGGGCAGGATCTTGAAGGGCTTGGGCAGCTTGCCGCTCTTGTAGCGGCTGAGAATTAATCCAATCTTTGAGTATACTGTGCAGACTTAGTAGAGTTACGAGATTTTGCAGTGAGGATGTTGTACCTTCGACGACCTTTGCCGGTAGTTCGATTGCGTCTTCTGGAGCACCACCGCCTTGAATCTCTGGTTGCTGTACTTCGCCTCCGGCTTCATGCGCAGTGATCTTCTCCAGGATGAGCGCTGCGAGATCTGTGCCGGGACCTGACTGTTGCGCTTCCTCGCCAGGCCATACGATGGGGTTGTCGTCTGTTGGTTTGAACTTGTTCCACGCCGCCAGGTCGTTCGCATCGATCTCAACTTCTTCAACCTCCTCGTCGTCCTCGCCCCATGCTTCGTCATCGTCTTCGCCTTGGATCAAGTCCTCCCCTGGCATATCATCCTCGCCCATGCGTGTCTCGAAGTCGAAGGCTGGGTTGGCTTCTTGCGGTCTCCGGACCTTGTTCTCCCTCGCATCCTCCTCCTCTAACTCTCTTCCAATTTCCAAGATTTTGCGCGAGCTCTTGGAGTCTACATATTTCTGCTCGTCGTCTTCCTTGTCGCTCTTGTTTCGCTTTTGACGCTTCGGCGCCTTGTTCTTCCACGGGTCGGAGGGCGCATATTCTTCGGCTAGAGGGTTGTGTCGCTGGTCGCGCACACCAGGCGATTTGGGTGCTTTCGGCATGGTGGGTATGTGGTCGCGAGCGGAGGATCAGAAGAGGCGCAATGTCTTTTTCTGAAGTTTTAGTAGGGTCGTGGGTGTATTACAGACGTTTGTCAGAGTTGGCGGCAGTGAGTAGTAAAAGTTCGAGAACGGGATAAATTTTGGTGGGGTCTGCCTAGCGCCGCAACTTGCATGTCCAGGGTCGTGCCTTCCAACATAGCTACAAGCAGCTGTCGCGCTTTCCACTCCAGCTACATCCACCCTCAAAATGGCCGACTCACATCCCCCTTCGCGTTCGAATACACCCACACTCGTGCCTCCAATGCGGCGGCCACTCGAAGGAGACAATGCGCCCGCTGTCTCGTCTCCGCTCAATCCCAATCCCGATGCGGCAGCGCGTGCCAGACCGAAAGCTCCCGCGCGCGAGCAGAGAGAGAAGCGCGAGACGATCAAGAAACGCGAAGCTTCAGCGTCGACGCGCCAGGCCACTCCGAGCGCAAAGTCTAGCAAGAAAGAGCGTCCCTCAGCCGACTCACCCATGCGATATTCCATCCCCGAGCCCAGACCGTCCGACTATGAAGCGCCAAAAGACAGCACGCTGGTGTCACATGAGCCGAACCCCATGTACGCGCCTGATGGCGTTACCGAGCTGAAGAAGCCACACGATATCGCCTGGAACAAGAAGGGCTACAAGTACACCCACTGCGTTGCCGACCCGCTCTTCCGTCACAAGCAATACTACAGACAGAGCGACTCTAGGCCGTATGGACCGCGGATGAGCCACGAAGACTGCGACAGATGGTTCCACTTCGACAACAGCGCGACGATTGTATCGCAGGAGAAGGGCTGGCGCATGGGACGCGGGAACGTAGTCGCGAGAGAGGGCAGGATATACTATGAGGTCAAGGTGCTAAGAGGCATACCCAAAGACGGCCCAAAGGATCCTATCGACCCTAAGACGGGAGAGACGAAACCGGGTCCCCACGTGAGAATGGGTTGGGCAAGGAGAGAAGCGCCGTTGGACGGACCCGTGGGCTTCGACGGCTACAGCTACGGCATCACCGACGCGCGCTTCGAGGCGCAACATCGATCGCGCGCCTCCAAGATCTTCAAGCCGCTCCCCAAGAACGCAAAGAGCAAGCACATGAAGGCCAGGCCCCCGCATGGCAAGCCAATGCCTGTTGAATATGTTATAGATCAGCATGTTCAGGAAGGCGATGTGATTGGGCTTGAGATTCAATTGCCTTCTCTCTCAATGCATCGCAAGGTCGTTGAAGGCATCTACAACCCGGCCGTCGATCTAGGAGATGGTTTCGACACCGTCAGCAACCAAGACCCATTCGACCGCCCCATCGACATCATCCGCGATCGCATACCCGTACCCTACAAAGGCAACTTCTACTTCGAACAGCTCGACTACCAAGTCACAAAGATGGTGGAGGCCTATCACGACCGCGGTCCGGTGCCCAAGATACACCCCTCGCCGAATCACGAAGACGTCAGCGTACGATCGCTACCACACTCGCATATCAAAGTCTACAAGAACGGTGAGGAGGTTGGCATCGCTTTCGAGAATCTGCTTGCCTTCCTTCCTCCAGCGAGTATACCATCAGTCGAAGCTATCAAAGCTGGCGCGCGAACAGGCTTCGACGATGGCATGGTAGGATATCTACCAGCTATTTCACTGTTCAATGGTGGTGTCGCCCAGGTCAATTTCGGTCCCGACTTCTGGTGTCCGCCCGAAGAGATGGTACAGCAGCGCGAAAGGGATACTCAGATGGTCGACGGTGATACAACCGAGCAGCAGATTCCAGATGGCCGTAAACTGCGGGCTATTGGCGAGCGATACAAGGAGCAGATTGCCGAGGACGTCGTCTGGGACATCATCGACGAGGTCGACTTCTTCTCCCAGGATGGAGGATGGGAGTACAAGGGCGAGGCTCCTCAGGACGTGGCAGGCAAGTCCACGCCTAGGGCGCGTGGCTTTGCAAACGCGGATGAGAATATTGGTGTTGAGGTGGCCAAGCGATACTAATGAGATGCAAAAGTCGTTCTGGTGTTCAGTGGATTGTAATCATAGCGAGGCGTATAGGTATACCCGTTATCAATGATTGATATGCATCTCTCGAGGTTTTTTCCTGGCGTCATTCCCGAATTGTCAACCACTCCTGTCTGCTCCGATGCGATCGCCACGTTTGCGCCTCGGTCCATTCGACAGATGACAGCCTTCTTCTACGGCACTTCGGCTTCTTGCTGCACGGAATTGCCGCCAACTCGGGTCCCGTATAGCTACAATTTGTTAAGAAATTCGCGCCCTACGCCCTACGCGGTCATACAAGCGTTCGCATCAATTCCGCCCAAAATTGTACTCTGCCAAAGAAGGCAATTAGCGCGGAATTAGCGACATCGGACATCTGCGTTGAAACTAGCGCAACGTGACCGTTGGCGCCAGCATTGAATATATACCCACGTATCGTAAGACACTTGTCCACACTTATAAAACATTGTCTGGAGAGGTAACTTGCCCTCCTCCTGCCTTCTTGCACACATTGCTTCTCATAACACTACCCCGCCATGGATTCTTCACAATTTCGTGAAGCGGCCAAAGGAGCCATTGACGAGAGTATGTGCTCTCAAAATAGTCTAACAGAAGTGCAAACTGACCTACTCTCAAGTCGCAACCTACTACGACACCCTCGAGGAACGCCCCGTGCTCCCTTCCGTTAAACCAGGCTACCTGCGCCCGCTACTCCCCGCCTCCACGCCCGAAGAAGGCGAAGCATGGGAGACGATCCAAGCAGACATCGACCGCGTCATCATGCCAGGCCTAACCCACTGGCAAAGCCCCAAATTTATGGCCTTCTTCCCGTGCAATTCATCCTTCGAAGCCATGATCGGCGACATGTACAGCGGAGCGTTCAACGCCGCAGCCTTCAACTGGATCTGCTCGCCCGCGATTACAGAGCTTGAAACCGTTGTTATGGACTGGATCGCCAAGCTCATCGCACTACCAAACGACTTTCTTAGTGACGGCGAGGGCGGAGGCATCATCCAAGGTACCGCCAGTGAAGTCGTACTTACTGCCCTTGTTGCCGCCCGCGAACGCCTCATCCGCCGTAAACTAGGCGATATGCCAGAAGGCGAAGAGAGAATGGACAAAGCAGCCGATATCCGGGGTAAGCTTGTTGCGCTAGGTTCCGAACACGCGCATTCGAGTACGCAGAAAGCGGCTGTTATCGCAGGAACCAGATACCGCAGTGTCCCCGCATCCAAGGAATCAAACTACAGCGTCACGGCATCTGCGTTGCGTAAAACCATCGAAGAGTGCCGTGCAAAG